TTTTTTCGGAAACCAAAGATGGTTTGCAAGAGATGTTAAATGCATTGTATATTTATACTAAGAACTGGAAATTAACGGTAAATATTGATGAAACCAAAATTGTAATTTTTAGAAATGGTGGCTTAGTAAAGGAAGAAGATAAATGGTTTTATGATGATGTACAAAAGATATTGTTAACAAATTTACTTATATAGGTGTTTTTCTTAATTTTAATGGAAAATTTGCTGTTGCACAAAAAAAAGTTGCAGAACAAGGTAGAAAAGCTATGTTTTGTTTATTTAGTAATATTAGACAATTTTCATTTAATTTTGACACGTTATTGTCATTATTTGATACATATGTGAGTAGTATTATATGTTATGGTTCTGAAATGTGGGGCTTCCATAAAGCTCAAGACGTAGAAAAAATACATATTGATTTTTGTAAAAGAATTTTGAATGTTAAAACAAGTACACCGAATGTCATGGTTTATTATGAACTTGACAGATTTCCAATGTTAGTAACCAGGAAATTGCGTATATTTAAATATTGGATTAAGGTATTGAATAATAAAAATTGTATATTACTTGGTTGTTACAATTATTTATATGATATGTGTTTGAAGAATCCAAATGACAAAAATAACTGGGTTTGTAATATACGAAAGGAATTGTTCCATCTTAGTTTAAATGATTTGTGGTATTCACAAAATTCTTTATGTAAAGATCATATTATGGTTATTAAACAGAGACTATGTGATATTGTCAAACAAGAGTTTGATGCTACTTTAGATAGTTCGTCAAAATGTTTTTGTATAGATACATGATATCCAATTTTTCTTTGCAGTCATATTTATGTAAACCAATACCCGAAATTTACAAAAAGTGTATTGTTAACTTTAGAATGTCATCACATAATCTAGCTATAGAGAAGTGAAGGTATTCTAATGCAAAAAGAAACCTTAGAACCTGTACATTGTGTATTGATGATATTGAGGATGAAATGCATTTTATTTTATCATGTCCTTTATATTCAAATTTGCGTGAATGTTTGATAAAACCTTATTATTGGCGTAAGCCATCTGTTATTTACTTTTACAATTATTAAGCACTACTAATGTAAAAGACTTGTGCAACTTAGGAAAATACATATTGAGAGCACTGAAGCTCAGAAATGACTGTTTTCAGTAAGTTGATTTGGAATTCATTTGTTACATATATTTGCTTTTTGGAATTATATTTATATGTATTTTTTTTTTTTGTGTATTTAATACTTCTGTCTGTTTTGTCATGATCGTATATTTTTGTAATCTATATTTAGTATATATTATAAAATTGAGAATGGAAATGGGGAATGTGTCAAAGAGACAACAACCCGACCATAGAACAGACAACAGCAGAAGGTCACCAACAGGTCTTCAATGCAGCGAGAAATTCTCGCACCCGGAGGCGTCCTTCAGCTGGCCCCTAAACAAATATATATACTAGTTCAGTGATAATGAACGCCATACTATAAACTCCAAATTGTACACAAGAAACTAAAATTAAAAATAATACAAGACTAACAAAGGCTAGAGGCTCCTGACTTGGGACAGGCGCAAAAATGCGGCGGGTTTAAACATGTTTATGAGATCTCAACCCTCCCCCTATACCTTTAGCCAATGTAGAAAAGTAAACGCATAACAATACGCACATTAAAATTCAGTTCAAGAGAAGTCCGAGTCTGATGTCAGAAGATGTAACCAAAGAAAATAAACAAAATGACAATAATACATAAATAACAACAGACTACTAGCAGTTAACTGACATGCCAGCTGCAGACTTCAATTAAACTGATTGAAAGATTATGTCTTCATCATATGAATATCAGGCACAATCCTTCCCGTTAGGGGTTTAGTATCATACCATCATAACATATATGAGAAGAACATAACCCGTGTCATGCCAACAACTGGTTTTTAAATAAATGTGTTTAGTGCCGATGCAAAGACCCTATAAGTGAATCAATATTAACGCCAAAATATGCAATCTTTAATGACCTGACAACAGTATCGTAACTATATCCCTTCTTAATAAGTCTATTTAAAGGTTTTGTTAGCTTCAGAGGTGAATACTGACATTTTTGTGCTTTATAAAGAATATTTCCATAAAAAATTGGATGTGAAATACCTGAACGCATAAGAAGTCTGCATGTTGAGCTATATTTACGAATGATGTCCTTATACCGATGATAAAATTTAGTAAATGTTTTGACTAGTTTGTGATATCGAAAACCCTGGTGTAATAATTTTTCAGTAATACATAAATTTCTCTCGTTAAAATCTAAAACAGTGTTACATACACGAGCGAATCGTACAAGTTGAGATATATAAACACCGTAAGATGGTGACAAGGGAACGTCACCATCTAAAAATGGATAATTAACGATAGGAAATGAAAAATCATCTCTTTTATCATATATTTTAGTATTTAGCTTTCCATTAATGATATAGATATCAAGATCGAGGAAAGGGCAGTGGTCATTGTTAGTATTAGCTTTATTTAAAGTAAGTTCAACAGGATAAATTTCTTTAGTATACATACTGAAGTCGTCATTATTGAGAGCCAAAATATCATCCAAATATCTAAAAGTATTATTAAATTTGTGCATCAGATGTTGTTTCGATGGGTCTTTGCTGATTTTTGTCATAAATTGTAACTTATAGCAATACAAAAAAAAGGGTCCGCAATAAGTGGTGCACAGTTAGTCCCCATTGGAATTCCGATAACCTGACGATATACGGAATCTCCAAAGCGAACAAAAATGTTATCTAGTAAAAATTCAAGGGCATATATAGTATCAAAGCATGTCCAATTGACATAGTTTTTTTGTTTATTGCTACTAAAAAATGACCTAAAAGAGTTTGAACATATATATTCACATTCTGACTTTTTAAATGCCCATTTAATTAGGTGTGTGAATTTTTTCTTAATGAGAATGTGAGGCAATGTGGTATATAGGGTAGAAAAATCAAAACTTTGAACAGATTCAAAATCACCAATATATGCATGTAATTTATCAAGTACTTCCAACGAGTTCTTGACACTCCAAAAGTAATTAATTCCACTATTTTCGAAGGCCTTATTTGAACAATTTATTATCAGGTTTTTGATTGTACCAAGTGTACTGGTAAGAAGAATAGACAATTTAGTAGTGGAACAATGGCTTGAAGACGAAATGAATCTATATTTGTAAGGTGTTTTGTGTAGCTTCGGAAGCCAATACATAGTTGGGACTTTCATTGTATTTGGTTCTGCTTGTAAAGCGGTAGCTAAAAGTTTATGTTTGTTACAGATGTCGTTTTCTGAAAATGGAGTCAGTTGGAATGTTGGTGAATTGGTGATTTCTTTTTTCAGAACCTCAATGTAAAATTTACGTCAAACAATAATATTATTAGCAGCTTTATCGGCCGGGACAAAAACAAATTCCTTGGCTAGTTCTTTTAGTTTATGTTTGATACGAGAAATATGTTTATTGTTGTTATTGTTAAGAGTAAAATGTTCTTTAAAATGTTGAATACGTATATCAACTATGTTCATTACTGAATTAAAAATGTATATATTATACATGTACCTATATGTTGTAAAACATTTGGTTAATAAAGAATTGAATTGAATATCGTGGCAATAATACCTCATCTCTTATAAGTTTATTTTAATATCTTGTTTACGTTAAATTTTCAACGGTTCATCTTCCAATTATTGTTTATTTTACTTGTACTATTTAGCAGTTTAATGTGTCTGTGAAAGTACCCTTTATGTATTATTTTCCTACCCGTATAATACTTGTTGATTAAAGGGATCAACATCTTTGTCAACAGTACAATGACAATAGTCCATTATTTCCTTCAATTAAACAGTATAAATGATACATTTATTACAATGGTAGGATTTAAGGCATCTTCATGTAATACACTAGATCTAAGCACCCAATGAAAAAAAATACCCAGAGGGTTCTAAATACTTTTCTCACATTTAATCCCGAATTACATTCTATATGATACTTTAAACTTATCGCACTCAAACTTACTTTAAAGTAGTAAATCGAAGAAGGTTTAATTCAGAAGGTTCGTTTTATGAAACCTTACAAGACAGAGATAAGGTAAGATTCGGCTTTTTTTTTTAATTTGTATTGTCTTTGTTGAACTTTTGAATAATTGATAAATTAATTAAAAGTTAGTTGTCGATTGTAGTGAAACACTATATTTGGAAAAAGAACTGAAAGTAGTCACTTTTCTTCATAGACAAAGAAATGTGTGCATACAATCTTAAAGATTTCTAAACATTAATAATTCGTGTTCTTTGTAGCAAATTTGTAGAATAGTTGTAGAGTTTGTGGGTAAAATAGCGTTTTTATGCGATTAAAAGTGTTGTAGAATCTTTTTTTGTAAAAAAATAAAAAATAACAGATCTGACAATTCCCAATTCACTGCAAAAATGTGGTTGCAATATTATATCAAAACAGTTGTATCATAATATAGAAATGAATTGAAAGTGTTGCGTTAAAAAGGCTTCCACGTACGAAAAAACACGTTTCTATATAAAATCTTACGACACACAGGATGAGTTTGGTTCGTAAAGGCTCAACCACAACTTGTTATTTCTGTAGCATCTCTAATATTTGGCTTTGCAGAAGTCATAATTTGGTAAAAATAAAAAATGAAAAAAAAAAATTAGACTTCTTAATTTGGATATTTTTTATCTCGCAATTCAGTTTTCAAACTATGATGCTTCAATAAGTTAAACAAATTTATAGATTGTATAACTGTTGAGTTTATTTTAATAGGTGAATTGTCAAGATATTTTTATAATAGGCCATTGATATATAGAATGCTGTCACATTAGAAATTTTTAATTTCAATTTTATTCAGAATATAAATGTCCTTTTCCTAAGTCATACTTCCAATTACTATACCGATTATTTACTTACAGATGAAATTGATAGTGTTGTTATTGATTGCTTCGGTTTGTGAAGGACGAAGCGCAGTGTTTGGTAAAAGAGGAAGTCATAAATACTCGGGTTCGTGTAGCTTCAATCTACCATGTGACGTTAAAGACAATTCGTTTTATGCAACTGTGGTTTTCAAACGTCCAGCTTCTGTACAAGTGAGTATATATAAAGACTCAACACTAGAGTAGTCAGTTTCTAAACAAGTCATGTTAATTGTATATAAGCTTTTTTTTGTTGGAAAATTACGCTCGCTCGACGTTTTACTCGAATTTACTCTTCTCATTATTTTTTTTATCAACAACTGAAAGTTTTTTTTTATAGAAATGCATTCTAAAAAAATAAACTGAAAAAAAATATTGAAAAATAAATATTTACTATTCCGTTGCCGATGAAAAAATACCAATGATTACAATCATTGAATTAAAAAAAAATCAAGAACAATTTTTGGTGTTTCCCTCGAGTACGGAAGGTCGAGGGTTCGAACCCCAGCCGGATCAAACCAAAAGCTTTTTTTCGCTGCTTCGCTGCTTCTCTGCTAAGCACGTGACATTAAGGAGTAAGTGCAGACGGGTCGGCTCGGCATCAGAATAAGGTATCCGGTTAGGGTGATATTTCTTTCTACAGATTGTTGCCTTATGAACTAAGCAAGTTAAAAATCGGTGTGTCGGTCTAGTACAAAGTAGGAGCCTATAGCCTTTGTTAGTCTTGTATTATTTTTAATTTTAGTTTCTTGTGTACATTTGGAGTTTAGTATGGAGTTCATTATCACTGAACTAGTATATATATTTGTTTAGGGGCCAGCTGAAGGACGCCTCCGGGTGCGGGAATTTCTCGCTGCATTGAAGACCTGTTGGTGACCTTCTGCTGTTGTATGTTCTATGGTCGGGTTGTTGTCTCTTTGACACATTCCCCATTTCCATTCTCAATTTTATTTAGTATTCATATTACATTAACACGTTCTCGTCCTGAATATGCATTTAATTTGCCGCTGGACGTTAAGCAGCCATTCATTATTACATACAATTATATTAAATTGCACTGATACTGGTGTTTTGTAAACAATTTATCATCGTATCTTACAATTTGATCTATTCTTCGTACTTTTATAATTGGTAAGATTTCTCGCACACGTGTAAGACGATTTTTGTGAAAACGCAGAAAAATATAAGAATGTTCAGGATAACACATATCTTAAAATTGAACTACGTAAATGAGTGACAACATTTAATTGAATTAAAGAATGCAAAGAGTAGGTATTTTATTGTTAAATAAGAACATTTGGTGATCGCCTTTATGATATAATTTAACAGTTTTCTCACATTTACAACACTTAGAAAACCTTACAAAAATAAGAGCCGTTTTAACATTTAAAATTAACCTCTTTGATAATGTATTAATGATGAAATTGGTATAAATCGAGTTCTGCCCGCCAGAGGACATTTACCAAAATTAAAAATAAAAGTGTAAATACAGAAACAAAAGGTCTGTTTTGTGTTAAAATGACTCTTATTTTTTTCATGTTTTCTAAAAGCCTACCAATAAGATGTTTACCTATTTATTCTATCCTGTAAAATAATATAACAGGCGAAAATGAGATAGAATAAAAATGTGCCTTTTATTTTAGGTTCTTTTTGCCTGTGCATTTTCAGGGGAAATAAATATAACTTATAAACCATTCGTGCAACGGTTGCTTGAAAGCATAATCGAGTACACACTATATTGTTTGCTATAAATACGAAAAATATCCACGTGAAATAAAGACCAAGTTGCAGCTAAAAATCCTACAAATATTTTTGATTATGATTCATAAAACATACTTTGATATTAAGTTTGTATATATATCAATAATTTTCAAAAGTTCAATGACGGCTCCCATTTCGTACTACGGTTGGTACGGTAGCAAATCGGGAAACCTCTGTTAGTCGAGTTGCATCGAAATCGTGTTCGGCTTATAATATGTCAACATTTCGGTTTCCAGACAGAACCTTATGAGCCATATTCATATCGTTCCAAATTTTCATAATGTTGATCAACTAAAATCGGACAAAATTTGTTTCCGGAGAACTTCTTGTGTACCATATGTCAAAACTGCAAAAACTATGTTTGAGAATTCACATTTAAAGGGGCATTAGCTGTCAAATTCATGTTCACCAATTTGACTCTAGTTCTCAAACTTGATGTATAACATACTATCAAATGAATTAGCACCTATAATTAGTCACCTTTTTCAACAATCTATGAATACCAACTCAATACCTGCTGAATAGACAACCGCAGACATCTGTCCACTTTTCAAGAAGGCTGACCATTCGATACCGGTGAGCTACTGCTGAGTATCATTAACTGCATTCTCTGCAAGATGTTCGAACTTATAGTATGCTCCAACATAATGAGTCACCTAGATCATTATAGGCAGTGGCTATTTTGCCGGCACAGGCAAAATAGAAAATATGCTATTTTGCAGGCTCTGATCAAAATATCTAAATTCAAGCCGGAAAATAGCATATTTCTATAGAAATGGTTATTTTACCGCCAAGGCAATGTAGTGAATTTGTTATTTTGCCGGTTCTTTATAAAGTGTGAAATGTAATATTAATTTACTTTTGAAAAGTAATATATACGAAAATGTTCACTATCACCATAAAAGAATCAAATAATTTTTGAAGCCCACCTCCAGGTGCGGGATTTTCTCGCTGTGTTGAAGACCCATTGGTGGCCTTGTGTTGTTTTCTGCTCTTTGGTTGGGTTGTTGTTTCTTTGACACAATCCTCATTTCCATTCTCAATTTCATTACTGATATACCGGTAGTTAGATAAGAAAACAGCTAACAATATTTGAGATACGTATAACCGTTTAAAAACATTTATCAGTCTAAGTGAAAATAATAATGTATAACAAGAAATAAAAATTAAAATATTGAGCATCCATTCGTTGCAATGAAATCATATCAAAATATGTAGTTGAAATTATTTCTAAAATCAGCTGGTATGCATAAGAATTAATATCAGATATTTTAACTGTATGTTATAAAAAAAATTAGTTAAAAATTTCAATGCATCATCAATTTGATAAAACATTATACAATATAACAAAATCAATCACATAGCTTCAAAAATCAACAATGTTTGAATTAAATTTGCTTTTGAAATAATAGCCAGTTCTTTGAATTGTATAGATGTGTAAACAATGTAGTTTTTAACTTAGCTTCCGCTTATCTAGAACCGGCAAAATAGCATTTTTTTTTTCCAGCGCCTGCAACAAATTCACTATGTTGCCGGTACCAGTAAAATAGCCATTTATATAGAAATATGCTATTTTGCCGGCTTGAATTAAGATATTTTAATCAGAGCCGGCAAAATAGCGTATTTTCTATCTCTGCCATCATTATAATATCATCAATGAAAACAACATGCTTTTCGTAAATATCACATTCGCGAAACACAACTATGCAGAGTCATCAATGATTGGACCAAAGACATCGATAAAGGACACCAAACGAATATATTTATATAAGATTTTAAAAAAAGCCTTGACACAGCCCCACATAAACTTCTTAAATCAAAATTAAACAGTTAGTGGATACCAAGTAAAACACTATGTTAGATTGACTTTCCAACGCTACTGCAAGCACAGAGTCACCTCAAGGAAATGTCCTGGGTCCTGTGTTATTTAGTCTACATATCAATGATATCTTGGATAATCGGGTGTTTAGTCAGTAGAAACACACAAAACGATTAGATGGGAAGTGTAAAATAAAGTATCGTTTTCGTCATAAAAAAATAAATAAAAAAGAACAGAAACAGAGAATAACGATATTTTTAGTTATCTTTGACAGAACACTGCTTTAAAATCTATACAATATAAATATAAGTAACTTTCAATTTTCAACATTACTTTAGCATGATTGAATATAAATACATAAATACATAAATACAAATAAATACAAATTTTAATGTGCGTATTGTTATGCGTTTACTTTTCTACATTGGTTAGAGGTATAGGGGGAGGGTTGAGATCTCATAAACATGTTTAACCCCGCCGCATTTTTGCGCCTGTCCCAAGTCAGGAGCCTCTAGCCTTTGTTAGTCTTGTATTATTTTTAATTTTAGTTTCTTGTGTACAATTTGGAGTTTAGTATGGCGTTCATTATCACTGAACTAGTATATATATTTGTTTAGGGGCCAGCTGAAGGACGCCTCCGGGTGCGGGAATTTCTCGCTGCATTGAAGACCTGTTGGTGACCTTCTGCTGTTGTCTGTTCTATGGTCGGGTTGTTGTCTCTTTGACACATTCCCCATTTCCATTCTCAATTTTATGTCTACGTTAATGTTTTCAATTATAGTAATGCTTAAAAAATTACACTAAATGAGTGACAATATTTTCAGAGAAGAATTAAGCGCCATCATATTCAAAACACTGTGGACAGGTTGATTTTTAGAAATCCTAGGACATGACTACAGCTAGCTTTAAAAGAGCACTGCACAAATCGTATATCCATGTACTGTTTTTGTCTTACGCCTTTTTTCCATTATACAAGAAAAGATAGCAGGAAAATCACCAATGCAGAACATAACAACAAGATACAACCACATCACTAACCCTAATTCAGGGCAATTAAAAAAGAAACAAATAAAAAAAAAAAATGATGAAAAGCATAACCCCTTAACTTGAATTACTCCACAACCTATAATCGAGGCGAAAGTCTATCGTTTTAGTCCGTATGTAGATTAACTCTGTGTTGTTTTGTTACTATCTTATTGATGTTTATCCCACATATCTTTTTCTTTTTTTTTACGTTCATGGTTTTAAGTGCAAAAGTAGAATATAAAATGAATGATTCAATGGAACAATTGCTAGTGTTAACGCATTAAATTAGGTACAATATGCATGCCCTTATCAAATAACTAGGCTCATCATCTCCTGTCATTTATTTCAATACTTTATGCTTTCAATTTTTTTCTCAAATTTATTACTCTGTTTTTCTTTCTTGTAAACATGTGATATACAATATACCACATGTCTATGAAAAAAAATAACCAAAAAGAAAAGATGTAAATTCTTATTGTTTCCGTTTTCCGTTTCCGTTCCGTATTCCGTTCCGTTTTCCGTTTCCGCCTTTTAGCAACACCCCATGAATACGGATTCAAAGAGGTCGAAGTATTCACTTGCAAGTAGATAATTCATTAGCGATGTTTCTTAGCTTATTTCATCTTTTTTTTTTATCTCGTAACTAATGCCCTTTTAAAAGAACAAGATCTCTACTGATGTTTGAACATTAAGGTCACAGTACCTTTAAATAGATTTTCGAAAAATTTCGTTTCCAAACAATATCTATTGATATAAGTAAGATCTTTACCAATATCTTGGGGTGAGGAAGACCCCTATTGATGTTGAGGCTACTAGATTAAAGTTCAAGGTCACATTAGAAATTGATAGACTGAAAATATGAGTGTTAGGATGACATATTTTGAATCATATATCCATCCTTCACCAAAATATGTTTCCGAAATTTCCGATGGAAAGAACAACATCCCAAATGATTTGTGGGTCATCTGGTCAAAGATTGGGGTCATAGTAAATATAAATATTAAATAGATTGGTGTTTTAGGAGAATTTTAGATTCCAGACAATCTGGATCATCTGGTCAAAGATCGAGGTCATAGTACCTATAAATATTAAACAGATTGGTGTTTTAGGCGAATTTTATTTCCAGACAATATTTTTTTACCCATAATTAAGATATCAATATATGCTTGATAGTGCGTTTTGAAGTGTCAGAGATCCCTATAGATTTGTCGGTCCCTTTGTCAACGGTAAAGGTTACAGCAGCATGTAATATAATGAAATTTGGGCAAATTTTCGTTTCCATCATTTTAAATTTATAGCTCTACCACAACCACATACAAGGCTAAAGGATTTATAAATTGTTACGAAAACTTGAACAAATAACAGTACCCGATACAAAAACTGTTTCGTCTAGCACAAATCCACATAGATCTCACCTCGACTTTTGCAACCGTGGTACCTCTGTAAATTTTTGATGTACTATTCTTGTTTTATGATGCAAGAAATTAAGAAAGCTTACTTTTGTTATGTATACACATTCATTATTTCTTACAGATGGATCAGCCTTTCGGGATTGTAAAGAAGGAGCTAGAGAATCGGTTTTATATGTTTAAGAACAACGACAGAATTTCGGAGGGGAATATAGATGTTCCGTTCACTGCCACACACAGAGGTTCAATTAATTATGATTGTGATGTCATTTGGTACGATTGCGTTGATTCTGTAACACCTACAACACAGACCAATATTGATAGTATGCGCTCTACTACAATTGTGTCTCCAGATGGTTCGGACAAACATGTACAAAACGTTGCAACAGCTGATATTGTTTCGTCAACAAAGAAAGCAAAAAGACCTTTATCATCAAATGCACCTTTGACAATGCCTCCTGCACTAGATAGATCAACTAAGAAACCATATGGAACCACAAAGACAAAAGACACCTCAATGCATATTAGTGCTTCGACTAAGCAATTTCCACCTAAGCCAACCTCAAAAACAACTAATTTACCTACAAGATCTTATACAGATATAAAAGTACCTTCCGAAGGAAAACATGAAGGGATAAAATCAACGACAGAACCCGCAGAAGAATTAAACAATCCAAATGACTCGAACCAAGACTTCGATTCTCTTGTAGAAACACTAAAATTAGCTTCAGTAAACATCCCAATAATGGAGTCATCGTCATCAAATAATCCAATTCAACCAACAAAAAATTCTTTAACGACTAAATCTGAATCCGCCACGAAAGCGATGACGCCTTTGTCAACTGAGACGGCGACAAAGTCTTCTCCAACTCCAAAACCAACAGAAATCCCACCAATGAAGCCTTCGGAAACAAATATTCCAATTAAACCAACAACAAAAATCTCTTTACCGACTAAATCTGAATCCGCCACGAAAGCGATGACGCCTTTGTCAACTGAGACGGCAACAAAGTCTTCTGAAACACCGAAACCAACAGACATCCCACCAATGAAGCCTTCGGAAACAAATATTCAAATTAAACAAACAACAAAAATTTCTTTACCAACTGCAACTAAATCTGAATCCGCCACGAAAGCGATGAAGCCCATGTCAACTGAGACGGCGATAAAGTCTTCTCCATCATCAAAGCCAACAGAAATCCCACCAATGAAGCCTTCGAAAATAAATATTCCAAATAAACTCGCAACAAAAATCTCTTTACCAACTCAATCTAAATCTGCCACGAAAGCAATGACGCCAATGTCAACTGAGACGGCGACAAAGTCTTCTCCAACTCCAAAACCAACAGAAATCCCACCAATGAAGCCTTCGAAAACAAATATTCCAAATAAACTCACAACAAAAATATCTTTACCAACTAAATCTAAATCAGCCACAACAGCAATGACGCCTTTGTTAATTGAGACGGCGACAAAGTCTTCTCTAACACCAAAGCCTACAGACACCCCACCAATGAAGCCTTTGTCAACAAAAATTCCAATTAAACCCACAACAAAAATGTCTTTACCAACTACTTCTGAATCCGCTACGAAAGCAATGACGCCTATGTCAACTGCGCAGCTGACGAAGTCTCCTTCAACATTAAAGCCAAATAAATCGACAAAGTCCTCTAATTTGAAGAAATCAACCACTTCAAAGTTTACTATTTCACCAACAAAGCTATTAACAACTACGCCAACCTCAGAAACAACTACTTTACCAACAAGATCTTCCACAAATATTAGTAAAGTACCTTCCAAAGGAATAGATGAATGGATGAAATCAAAGACAGAAGCCATCGAAGGATTAAACAATCCAAATGAGTCCAACCAAGACTCCGATGCTTTTGTAAATACGCAATTATCAGCTTCATCAAACAACCAAACAATGAAGTCCTCGTCAGCAAATAATCTATTTAAACCATCAACAACAAAAATATCTTTACAAACTAAATCTGAAATCGTCACAAACGCAATGACACCTTTGACAACTGAGACGGCGACAAAGGATTCTGCAACACCAAAGCCAACAAACGCCCCACCCATGAAGCCTTTGACAACAAATATTCCGATTAAAACCACAACAACGAATGCGATGACGCCTTCGTCAAATAAGTCGCTGACAAAGTCTTCTTCAACATTAAAGCCGTATACATCTACAAAAGACTCTAAATTGAAGATATCAGTTACCTCAAGACCTACGATTTCACCGACAAAGTTATTAACAACTACAAGATCTTCCACAAATATAAAAGTTACTTCTGAAAAACAAGATGAAGGGATGACATCAAAGGCAGAAGCCATCAATGTCAATGATAATGACTTAGCAAGAAGACGAAAACACAATCAAAGCTTAAAGAAACGCTTACTTCGTCTATTAGAAAGAAGATATTTGAACCTACAGCAGGAATCAGAAGAAGAAGTATTAAGAAATATATCTGAAAACAACAATGAAAACTAACTGAACAGAAGCAAGGATAGTACTATATTATAATACACTACGGAAGGATACAAATTGATAAACCTATAACAATATTTCTTTTGAGAAAACAGTAATTGATCAACCTATAACAATATTTCTCTTGAGAAAACAGTAATTGATCAACCTATAACAATATTTCTCTTGGGAAAACAGAAATTGATCAACCTATAACAATATTTCTCTTGGGAAAACAGTAATTGATCAACCTATAACAATATTTCTCTTGGGAAAACAGTAATTGATCAACCTATAACAATATTTCTCTTGGGAAAACAGAAATTGAACATTGGTGATCTTAAATTTTGAAATACGGATCGAAGTGTTTTTCTTTTAAAAGCTATTTATTTCAGGTTTGTAATTGGTTAATATGAATGTCCAACGGTTTCACATATATATTTACTCATATTTAGAACAAAAACTGTGTTTGCAAATCTGAAAAATGAAGCAAAAGTCGTCTTTGTTTGATGTTTATCAGACAAATACACAATAAATTACTAAAGGCTTTCATGAATAAATAGAACACTCTTAAGTTTATTCGAAAGTATAAAACAATTAATGTCTATATTACACAGCTAGCAAATTCACTTTAAAGACTATCACTTCCGATGAACTCCACTGTAGTCAAAACATTTACATTTATTGAATAGTAAAATAACTGAAATCAAATTCTGATACTAGTATTAAAGACCAAACTTCATTAAGATTTTGACTTTTTATTCTTTGTATATATATGTATTTACTTGCGAAATGTATTCAATTGGTAGATTCTCGTATACATTTTCCCAAAAGAAAGTTGGGCTCAAAAATGCAAATATTACAGGCAAACATCGATGATTTTATGACAAGCTAAAGATGGTAATTTAAAGGTTAATTAATATAGTCGGTCTAAAATTGCAATGCGAATATTTAAGATTTTAAGTATAACTTTTTAAAATTCATACAAGGAACTGAAAGATATTTTATGCTGGGTGAAAGTTTATAGGACCATAAATAAATTTGATTCAAAAAGATTCAATGCGACAATTTCAGTGTTTTGATATGATTAAAAATCCGTCCAAGTAACAGAAGAAAAAAAATCAAAATCAAAACTTATGTTGAAATGATTTATTTGCAAAATTATTGGACCTTACAGATATTTTCTACAGCTATTCATTTCCGACCACAGTTCTTATCTTTGATTATGATCAATGGAGTGATACTTTTCATCTCTAGTTTTACAAAACAATAAAGAGACTTAATTTTATAGGGTTAGATTGGACAAAGTCCAAAACCAGCATTATAGAATTGTAATATCGGACGTCGGAGCATCGGCGGATCTGGGCGGGCGGAAAAAAATGAGTACCAATTTTGTGACACATTACCTATACAGTAGAATGATTGCACATCACTGGCTTTTTGTACTTGACTTAAATTGTTGGTACTGTTAAACTGTATTTAAAAATTAAAGTATTTTTATTGAGCTGTTTTCTGCTGTGATGTCGGGTTGTTGTCTCTATGACGCATTCCTCGTTTCCATTCTCTATTCTATTAGAAATTCACCTTCTTGGTTCATTTCTTGTCATTGAGTTGACACAAACAATGGGAGAGTGACTGATAAACATCATACACCAAAAAGCCAAGGCTTAACATATGCATTTGTAATACAAGTCACCGGTTGACTTCTTAGCCTGCAATCAGCCATCTTATTATACAAATAAGAGTGTGTAAGTCAATTTATAAGATATTCCTATATAGGTCTGTATCCTCCTGTATCTTGTCGGCATTAATCAAATTACAGTTTATATCTCATTCCAATTCGGTGTCCCCATGCGGCCCGCGCCCAGGTTATAATGTACCAAACAGCCGTTTCATGGGAACATCCAGTTTGAGCTTTGGAGTAGATTTAATACAGCAACGTTATAAATAAGAAGACGCGAACTAGTACAGTGTCCAGAATAAATCTTTTAGAATTTCATAGCAGAAAGCCAGAAGCAACCGTTTAGTCTTGTTTCAGATCGCAAATTAGCGTATTGATGTTCATCCCTTCAGAATATCAGACCCAAAGATAAATCATCTATAAATTAAATACCCAATATATCATCAACAGAAAAATATTGACCGGCATAGTACCTTTGTTAATTTGTTTCTTCCTTTTTAATCTTATATAACATATCATCTTATAGACTTGTACATATTCATGAAAACATGAACTCCAAGTTAAAAGAGGTAATATATTCTTACTAAATGAATTTCAGTATGGGATTTTGTTTGTTGTAAAACGTTCAAGAGTTTCAACATAGCAAAAATCTTGCAAATCTATAGCTTACCTTTGTCTTCTGATACATGAACGAAATCACTGCCTGCACTATGTCCAGAAGACACTAAGACCCGTCTGCCAACTAGGCTATAACATAAGCTTCCGTTAGTCGGGTGGTGACTTTCCTCGTCGGTGTATTCTAGGATTGTAGCTCAGTAAATGATAAAATTCGTTTGGAGATATATGTCCAGTTCATCTTCATATGAACATATCGTAAATGATTATAATGTTACTTTTCCGTTGGACAGCCGATGCAACGGCTATAAAGAGCTTTTCTTTATATACATGTATATACTTGTTTTCCTTGAATACATCCTGACTATATCAGAACTGCATATTATCACTTGCAACGCCCGATAAACGAAAGCTATATTTTGAAATGTCTAGTTTGAAAAAATATTGAGAAAGGTTCCATTACAGTTAATTTGCACTCATCTCGTTGGTTGATAACGTTTGATTTTGTCTGTTTTTATGTACTTTTTTAATTTATTTTGGAGCTTGATATTTTTGTTATACTTTTTTCCAACCCCAGGCAAACTTGACCTTACGTAAACTTTGTTATTTTATTAAGGTCCTTTTTGCGCTTAACATTTCAGCGTATGTACGCATCGCTTAACGTTTCAGCGTATGTACGCATCGCTAAACGTTTCGGCGTATGTACGCATCGCTTAACGTTTCGGCGTATGTACGCCTCGCTTAACGTTTCAGCGTATGTACGCATCGCATAACGTTTCAGCGTATTTACGCATCGCTTAACGTTTCAGCGTATGTACGCATCGCTTAACGTTTCAGCGTATGTACGCATCGCTTAACGTTTCAGCGTATGTACGCATCGCTTAACGTTTCAGCGTATGTACGCATCGCTTAACGTTTCAGCGTATGTACGCATCGCTTAACGTTTCAGCGTATATACGCATCGCTTAACGTTTCAGCGTATGTACGCATCGCTTAACGTTTCAGCGTATGTACGCATCGCTTAACGTTTCAGCGTATGTACGCATCGCTTAACGTTTCAGCGTATTTACGCATCGCTTAACGTTTCAGCGTATGTACGCATCGCTTAACGTTTCAGCGTATGTACGCATCGCTTAACGTTTCAACGTATTTACGCATCGCTTAACGTTTCAGCGTATGTACGCATCGCTTAACGTTTCAGCGTATTTACGCATCGCTTAACGTTTCAGCGTATTTACGCATCGCTTAACGTTTCAGCGTATGTACGCATCGCTTAACGTTTCAGCGTATTTACGCATCACTTAACGTTTCAGCGTATTTACGCATCGCTTAACGTTTCAGCGTATGTACGCATCGCTTTGAAATGTTAGAGTTTGAGCGTTCCTCATGAAGGGACATCAGAAAAGCGCTTCGGACGCACGTAACTTTTACGAGTTTATGTTATTTTCGAGATGTCTAAAGCGCTGGGAACAGCGCAGGCTGTGTTGCCATTTACTTCGCAAACGCTCGAATTCGAATCCCGCTTAATTTTTTCGATTGAAATTAGTAAGTGCAAGAATTTAGTTCATTCAATTTTGAGCTGAATTTAAGAAGTATTTATATTTTATAAAAATAAGAAGATGTTAGCCCGCATTGCGTGATATGTCGGGTTATTATTTGTCCTTGACAGAAGCTTAGATGCTGAAAATAATGAATGTTTTACGTTTTTCTAATGTATCACATCTTGTTTACACTGTAAACACTTTATGTTTGCATCCACATTAGCATATTAAGCAACTACATTAAAAAAGGAGTTAAACCAATATGTTTAATCTTTTTACTTATATATTTTTTTTTCTTCTACATTGAATGTTATTTATGGACAATATGTTACGCGTGTCATGTTTGAAAAAAAAAACATTGATACGAAACTCTGAGCAGAGAAGCCCTCATCAACATTAAAATGCCACTTTGTAGTAATAGGCATTTATATATTATATATCATTTCTAATGCTCCAAATTTAAAAAAATTTCCTTTCAAGACCAATAATATATATGTAGAAAACGTAATTAATAATAATTTTTCTCAGATTTTATGCTAAATATTTGCACTTTTATCAGCCAGCTGTGTTGCAGAAAGATTAAGCCGAAAGTAGTTATCCGCAAATCAATATGTGAACAATGTAGAATGTTCTGATTCTACACGCACAATTGAGTTTCTAAAAAACTACGCATATAAAACTCACTGCATTATTTTTTCCGTTTTTTCGAATAACGAAACCTATTCTTTTCTATAATAATAGTCAAGACAATGAAATATATTGTGTTTAATATTCTGACGATTTTGCCCATCCTCACTTATACCTTCGCTGCTAGTATTAGCTTTAGTCACCAGAGTGGCATATCGACTAGCTGTACCAACGGAAAATGTAAAACGGTAGAAGATAGAGGTCATGTTTCAGTAGACTGTAAGAATGGAAATTGTAACAAAGAATATTCCAGTACTCTTTGTAAAAACGGGAAATGTACCCACACCGGTGATGCTGGACCCACGAAAGACATTCCTGAACCAAAGTTTGACTATATGGGAGGTGGTTTCGATTCTTCGGACTTTGGAGATATGAGTGGAGGATATGGTTTTGGAGGCTTTAGGGAGTGTATTGATGGACAAATAGAAGACATGTATTACGAAAGCATGTTTAACAGATGCTACAAAACAATATGCATCAATGGGTTATGGCAGGATCAGTCATTCCGGGGACGTTGTCATAAATGAGTAAGTAAGATGTTCCTTATTGATCCTTTCTGTTCAGTAATACAACATATATTAACGGACTTTAAAAACGCAACACACATTTTGGCGATTTTGTTTATCAAATAATGATTGATACTCAAAGGTTACCATACTTCCTTCTGTTTATAAATCAATACCTGACTTACCTGAGGTTATTGAACATACTGGATTATTGAAGTCGCACGAATTTCTTAAAGCGAAATTTGAAACCCACAAATGATTTTTTAAAGTTTTTTTCTTCGTGAAACAATTCATTCAATCCATACCCACACTTAAATCAGTAAAAAGAAATATTGCATCTCCATATTACCGAGGTTGAGCAATGAAAATCTGAAACAGGCTGTAAGAATATTGCAGGCAGGAATACGAGAAGGTGCTGCTGCCAGACAATTTCACGTCCGAAACTCACCCTACTGACCTTACAACAACGGTACAGGCAGACGGGATTTGTTGATGACCACCCCTGACCAGATCAATATGAAGTGACAACGTCAAGTCAATAAAATTTGATTACGCAACGCCATTTGCGAGACATGTTTATTCATTTATTTTTCAAAAATTGCATATTTGAAAATGGGAGTTAAAAATAATAATAAGTGTTGCGTTTTTAAAGTCCGTCAGTATATTAGTTAAAGAACTGCAGAGGAGGTTCTTTTAACACTTTTCCATGGTTACATCAAACAATGCCAAACCTTATTTTTTTTTATCTATATTACTATTAAAACTAATATCTGAGCTCTATACATGATATTGAGTTTTGATGAATATGCAAGATACGAATTAATCTTGGAAGGAAATTTGAAAAAAAAATTATGAAGATAGCGAGAAAATAATAACATTTTTGACGAAAGGTACATTACAATTTTTACTCTACTTTATTTTTTGTTTTTGTGTGAGGTCACTGTTTTCACTGAAACTACTTTGTAGAAATAGTCAACACCTTACATGCAGAAGGGATTTGCATAAAATGTAAACTTTGCTCGTATGCAAAATGTATGTTGTATATTTGCTTAAAAAACCATAACACATGTCTTTTTAGTTTGTTTTTTTGTGGTGTTGGGTTGTTATTGTGTTGCTGCCAAGTTGACGTATATCAAGAATCTACTATTATTGATATGAAATAGAGAGACGAAAGATACCAAAGGGACGTTCAAACTCATAAGTCGAAAATAAACGGACTACTCCATGGCTAAACAAACAGACAAACAACAGTACACAAAACACAACATAGAAACCTAAAAACTGAGCAACACGAACCCAACCGAAAACTAGGGGTGATCTCAAGTGCTCCGGAAGGGTAAGCAGATCCTGGTCCACATGTGGCACCCGTCGTGTTGCTCATGTAAGTACAAACCCGGTGATCAATATAATTCGGTGGGTCATATTCGGGGAAAAGGGAACGGGACTGTAGTTACGACAATTGGAGCATATCCGTCGTCATCTGTGAAACAGATATTCCATAACGGTCAACTAACTCGTAATGGCGTCCGTCATTTTCAATTAAAAAACAACATTCCTATGAATGGTTCCTATCTGTATATATGTTCTGACAGACTTTAAAACGGGACATTAGATTATTCTTTTCTTATATATTTCTTTTTGAATTTGCAAAATTTGTAAAATACTTCATGTGGTGGTCTCTGAAACCCTGGTTTTCTTCTTGTCCATGGGATTCTTTAACCGCCGAAGACAATAACAACTTGTAACCTACGCCCAACTGATTGACAGAAAAGTCGGTCAGTTCTGTTTGAGATATTTTGAGTTCTTTTTTTGTCCATGCTGATTATGCCTCTGTCTTAGAAATTGCAATCTGTTGGCAGTTTAACAGTTTAAACATGTGCAGAAAACCTTAAAATGATTTTCAACAGTGAATTCTGAGGAATTTCAGTGTATGGCAAACACTTTTGGCGTGAATCTGTCTGCCATAACATTCGGTGACTTGATTAACAGTTGCCACTGAAGTCGTTAGTCTCTCTCGCAAATGGCATTGCAAAATTAAATTTTATTGAGATCATGGTTGGTCATTTACAAATTTCGTCTGCATGTAACGTTGTTAAGGACTGAAAGTGGGGATTTCTGACATGAAACTGTCTAGCATCAGCACGTTGATTTATTCCTGCCTGCAACATTATTATGGTCTGCTTCAGAAGTTTGAAGCACTGTAGCAAAATTAGAGAAAAAGTAAAATACTTAAATACTTTTTGAATTCAATGGGTCTTTAAGTGACCTCATCATACATTTATCAACTGAAAAAAATATCGCATGGTGTTAATGATAATTCATTGACGCTACAGATGCACTGAAAACTTAAAGGATGACTATGATCTATCATGAGGTGAACAGTCCAAACATACTGCTGTATCGACCAAGTTTTGATCAATCAAAGTTCAATATGAAGAATATGCATAATCCATAATAATTAGACTATTTACCGGATTTGTAATAACATGAGCAACACGACGGGTGCCACATGTGGAGCAGGATCTGCTTACCCTTCCGGAGCACCTGAGAGCACCCCCAGTTTTTGGTTGGGTTCCTGTTGCTTAGTCTTTAGTTTTCTATGTTGTGTCTTGTGTACTATTATTTGTCTGTCTTTTTATTTTTTAGCCATGGCGTTGTCAGTTTATTTTCGATCTATGAGTTTGACTGTCCCTCTGGTATCTTTCGCTCCTCTTTTTTGATCTTAAGATGTATTATATATAACTTCCTATATTTTATCAAGATAATAACAGAAACTTAAAGTCTCTATTTCATAATTTCTGTTACAAAGATTGAAAACATGGACATTTAAAAACACATAAAATATAATGAAGAATTCTGACTGTACATGGACAGGTACACACGTACCATGTTATCTATAGTAGGATTTTTCAAATTTGTGTAAAAAATCTGAAATTTTCACAGATGTACACAAATAGTTATATGTATTCGTTGGAATAGTAGCAATGAATTAGCCATTTTAGTCCGATTTTCATATTACATGTAATGGCAATTATCTAAATGATGCAAAGGTCAATTGTCCGTTTTTTCACTGAAGATGACTTATTGCGGAATTACTGAAGAAAAAGTTTTGATTTTTGGGACCGATGTAAATGAAATAACACCTACATAATTTTGTATAACAATTTTATAGATATTTGCAGATTTGTCCATTTTAGCTTTTTATTTTTTTATTTTTATTTTGAATCAACAGAGCGAACTCGATTCTTTGTCTGTTGATGGAGGTTCACCAAGTTACGCAAGGGAATATTTTTAAAGTCAATTTATAAAAGTCAATACTCATGTATCATGTATTGATTGATATAGATATAAAGATTCTTCAAATTTAATAGTGATAAAAATATACGAACTATTCTTTTAACGAATTTTCAACTATCGACTTATGACGTCATGCGTGATGACGTGGAGCATCGCTCTTTGGATTCTGATATGAACAAATTCATTACGATATTAATGTTGATATTCGTATAGAAATAACAGTAACACGGGAGTAAAAAAAATCAAGGTTGGGTGTCCGTTTAAGCTTTGCGTATACAGTGGCAGTACAAATTGTCCCATCTTTCTCCCAGCTATCGATCATTTTTTTTTCAAAATTTGTTCAAGTATCAATTTATCAATGTGAATTCGTTTGTATTTCTTTTCATGATTTGAAGTAAAGTAATTTTTCAAACTTCTTATACCGCGTTTTTTTTTTTAATATATGATGATGTTAAATCAAAAGAAAAAAACTTCAGTAGTTCCAATTTATGGCTTAATAATGGTGCATACTTTGATGAGTTTTTACAACCACTTGGTCGATGCCACTGATGGGGGCGTTAATTTCACCAGCCCACCAGTAGTCAAAACTTTTGTAGGGACATGAAATGTCACCGATGCGATTATTTTCTGTAAATTCACTATTCTTAAAATGTTAAGTTATTGAAACACTAAGAGTATTTTTCTACCTCATGCGTATATAGTTTTACAACTTTCAGATTCAAACGCCGCTGATTCGTATGGAGACGACACGCGAGTCTGTCGTACCCAAATTATAAGCCTGGTATCTTTGATCAGTCTTTGTTTTTAATCTGACATTACTAGTATAACGAGTACCGTATTTTTACATTCATGTAGTAGAATTTTATTGCGCTTAATCCTGTTGGAAGTTTTTCCGCGTATATCTAGTTTAGTCTTCTCCCATGAACATTGTATAACAATAGAATAGTTACAAAGCATGCAAGCAAACAATACAATACATTATATATATTGGATATGTAAAAAAGATGATGTGTGATGATGTGATTGGTTGTATACAATATACATATATATGCACTTTATTGTGCTATATTATACAATTAGAAATATATCCACTTAATCCTCTTATCGATTGCATACATTGTATTGATCAATGTTTTATATTTAACATTAAGTAAGATGCTAAAACTTGTTACCATATATTACGCTTCTTCTGTAGTAAATCGTGTTAACATTATACACACTTTATGTTCATAACCATATTACATGTTCGATAGTACATGGGGAATAAAGCCATATGTTGACTCTATAGTGCTTGTATGCTAGTGTTTCTGTTGTTGTAAATATCATGCACAATATATGTTGCAGTTGTAAATTATTTTAAAACTTGGATACAATGGAAACTGTATAACCACCAGTTTATGTCTATGTTATTTTTTTCTTTTGACAGTGAAGGACACTTTATTGATTGATTGATTGATTGATTGGTATTTAACGCCACTTTCAACACTTTAGTGCTATTTCGTGGTGGTCAGTTTTATTGGTTGGAGGAAGCCGGAGTGTCCGCAGAGAACCACCGACCTTTGATAGGAAAACTGACACTCCTAGTCAATTATGATTAGAGTCGAGCGCACGTGCCATGTGCGGCATACGAACCGCCAGTTTTGACAGACTAGTGATACAGTAGTTCGACTACTTAGACCACTCGGCCACCGAGGCCCCCTAAGAACAATTTAAAGAGAGTTTTT